CAGAAAGTAGCAAAACTAAACCAAATACATTAAAGCAAATGATTATGGCCCAATTTTTTACTAAATACCTGAATTACTGAGAATACGTACTGCATGCATGCCAATAGACACTTCCCGAATTTGCTTGAGTGCACACGAAACAATAGCTTGGAATCGAGGCGGACAATGTAATCCATTGGAAATAAGTATAGTTTTCCAATGGAATACATTGTCCGCCTCGATTCCAAGCTATTGTTTTGTGTGCACTCAAGCAAATTCGGGAAGTGTCTATTACTGTCTTTATACCTGTTATTCGTCTTGTCCAAAATCGTATACGCATTTACACAATTACACTCCGCTAAATGGCGTTAATACCACAACAAATACTATAAAGCGTTCGAGGGGAATAACATTCTCCATCCTCTTTACACACCTACATAACAAATTTCGCTAACCAGAAATTGAGTATTTCTGCATGTTATTATACACGTTGATGTCCAAGTCTTGAATTTTTGAACTGCCATCAACTGAATTGCCTTGTTCGTCGGAGGCTTTCTTAGTTAATCTTGTTCCCTGCCACTCTGAAGAGATCTTCATTGACCATTTATTAACGCCAAGTACGGGTTGACTTTCGCGAGGCATTTTCCAACAGTTTCGTTTCTTCTTCGGCAATTCAATTGGGCTTCATATAAATGCCGGTCGAGGCCATGGCCTCCGCCCGTATATCTTCTTGCCACGAACTGCTTTGAATTGAATAAACTCTTAAGCCTGTTTTCTTTTGTGTCAACATAATTAGTTCTGCCTGAGTCCTCCCCCAGTGGTGCTCACGAAACAAAGAAATATGCTACGTTTCGCTACGTTGCGGATTAAGTGAAAAAACTGCCTTTAACTGGCCCCAAAACAACATGCAAATTTTCCTTACACATTGCAATACAAATATCCAAATGGTAAACAGAATTCTCTACAGGGTGTTCCAAAGAACTCCAAAACTATTGAAATAACGTATTGTTAGCATTTAAATGCCTCAGCAATCTGCTGAACCCACAAGTGCATCAAAGCTTGCCATAAGTAAATTGTATGCATAAAGAAACTGTTTAAGAAGCTGCTTTAAAATCCCAAGAGCAGAAAAGCGTGCGCTTTACAAAAATATTTTAATTTCTTAATAAGTCAATATCATGCACCCTGTCAATATTTTAAGCATCTTTGTGTTTAAGTCAGTACTAGGGCATTCAAATTCTAACAATACGTTATTTCAATAGTTTGGGTTTTTTTTTGGGAAACGCAGCGTATTCTTTTTGTGACAACATAATTAGTTTTGCCCGAGTCCTCATCAGCGGTGCACGAACCTTTCGCTACGTTGCGGGTTAATAAGCGAAAAACTGCCTTTAACTCCTGCTCGTTTTTAAACAGTACCTAAAATTTGTTTGAATGGTGGTCGAGCGTCAATGAACTACGGCTGGGATTACACTATACCGGATTGATTTTCATACCGGATCAATTTTCACACCGAAGCCAAAATCAAGGGTGTTTACACTATGCCGCTTCGCTCTGTTGCCAGCTCGTATCTTTTATCGTTGCCACGGAAACAAATAATAAGTTTTGCCCATTTTGGACGTTTTCTCGACAGTACTTGTGAATCATAACTTTGTTTACAAAGCTTGACCACCCGACGTTGCTTTGTCTCGCTCTTATCGAAAATTGACGAGTATTTCATTAAATTTTGCCCTTTTGAAAGCAAGAAGTCAATGTTATTACCGCTATCTTTATTTGTCTTCGCTAGAAATAATAAATAATTGTAAAGCGAAGAAAACAACAGCTATAAAATATTTAAAAGCGAGTAAATAAAACGACAGTGTTAAAATATACTTGCCGAAACCTATTTATAGTACCGGAGCGTACCGGATTGCCTGATTACACTTGGTTTTATCCGGTACAGTACGTACCGGATTACTTTTCATATCACCTCCAAAGCGAAGTGATTTTCGCGCCGCGGCACGTACCGGATTACAGTGGCGTAGTGTAAACAAGAGGCCAATCCGGTACAGAAATCGCGTCGCTTCGATGCAATCCGGTACAGTGTAATCGGGGCCTGATCAGTGCCTCGAATTAGCGAATTAGCTTGATTAGCGAATAAGACGAATAATACTTTTTTTGCAAGTCATGTTTTGTAGTTCTTCATACGCTTGTTCAAGGGTATGAAAATAACTGTTACAGGAAATGTATCAGTTGATATCAGTAAAAATGGAACTTAATTCTTGGTCTTTTGATTACTAAAGTATATCCGTTAATCATAAGAGGTTAATAACAGGAACAATATTAATAATAGAGAGTTAATTTTAGACTTGACGACATGACGTTTACGGCAAACGTCAAACCGCTAACGACGTTTTTGATTTTACAACTCGATCTATTATAACAGATTTTACACCAGTTTTGAAATATATTAAACAATTATTAAACTTGTGGTATTTAACAATGATTTAAGACAGCAAATTAACCACTATAGTCATGCACGTATTCAAGAAGGCAGTAACTTAAGATGTGGCGTTTGAAGTCTACGTTTCTAGTAGATTATAAATTTTATGCTTGAACTGTTACGAAGGCTTGTAGTCTTAGCAGTTTGACGTTTGCTCTTGATCGATGAGAACAATTTTTCCCTTGAAACAAATATATAGCATCTATAGAATGTTATAAAAATATGTTTATTTGTTATTTTAATAAATAACTCTTATTTCTACAAATGGATTAATAGGATTATATCCACTATTTCTATAAGAATGAAATGCTATCCCTACACGTACAGCGTATTTTGTACTGTCGCTAACATCTACATCACATACACTGTGCGGCCAATTGAACCAGCGTTCTTGATTGTATATCACTGCCACTGTTTTTGCTGTTGGTTGACGCATTTGGGTCCCTTGTTAAAAGCTGGATTAGCGCTAACCTTGGGGAAAAATTGAACCTGCTGTTTTGATTTGTGTATTTCCGTATATTAGCCTAGTTTGTTTCAAAATTTTTGAAAATAATTTTTCTCTCTACCCAGACATGATTTCAGGAAAATTTGTCCGTCGAGATTATAAACAAGCTGTCGAGTAGACTGCTTTGAAGTTTTCGTTAATGCGGGATTAAGCTAACTGGCTTTTGAACAACTACGTGCATGGTCTTTGGAGTTGATTCAACTTCTTCAAATTACAGTGCAGTTGTTAGGCTTTGCTAAGCCTGCCGCACAGTCGAGAGAAACTTGTTGAGCTTGCTGCCACGCGAGGCGGTTAGCTCAGCAAGTTTCTCTCGTGTGCGCAAGGCTTAATGGAGTATAATGAATTTAATAGTACTTATGTCAATCACAAAGTGGAATTAATTCCAAACCGATTTAAAACATCTCTCACAAGCGACTTTCTTTGACTTTAAAAAGTTTGAAAATCCAATTAATTCTGGCAGGTTTGCTTTCGAATTGGGTTAGGTATAGCAAATAAAATCCCAAATAGGTCAAAATCATGGAAATTTCTTAAACATAAAATCGCTTTTTTCTCGCAAAACCGATATAGCTTGTGCGCGTGACGAAGCAACCATATATATATCCTTATATGGAGTTTCGAAGCTATCGATTACATGTCAATCATCCTTTTTGCGCTTGGAGGTTGAAGTTTAGCTGTTTGAAAATGTTAGTAACAATTACCTTAATAACTAATTTGGTTGTATCACTTCGCATTTATTATAGAATTACCAAATCATAAGACCTTAAATTGTAAACACACAGATGCAATCTACGTATAGATATCCATGGAATTGCAAATATACGTTTGACACCATGCAGCCAAGCAAAGCTGATATTGGTTGTCAAGCTTCTTGTCCCTCAATCACTAAATTAAACAATTACACGCTACCAGCAGCGAGAAAAAATTCGAATGTAGCACTAGTGTGGTGTAGATAAAGGTCCATTAAAGAGCATGCGATTCCATAAGATATATTTGTATTCAGATTGGAGGATGACGCCTATGCAGCCCTGTATCTCCGCGCCCAACGACACATGCAACTGGTGCTGTTACAAGAATCACAAGAAGCCGGATGCCGATTGTATGTTCAACAATTCTGTGAATGCATTATCTGCTCCACAAGGTTATTAAAACAAATATTTTTGAAATACACAATTGAATATTTCGCATACTATATGGCAGATCTTCTAACTTTTGAAGTAATAACAATGTTGAATGAAAATAGAGTTGAAAAATAGTGAAAAAGACCACTACAGTTTCAGTCTACTTTCGTTGAAATTCCCCACCCCCCTGCGCGCGAAATTTAGAAGCTTTAATCATATTTTAAGTTAATAGATGGAACATTTGTTGTTTTTAATTACTGTACAAAATTTCATGCAATTTGCTTTAGTTTAAGCCCTTTAACTATTCACGCAAACTCGCATATTTTCTTAAAAAACAGCTATTTGCATGCTAATTAATGCCTTTGCCTAATTTGCATAAGTCAGCAGTCAGATGTTCATCGTCTGTATTATTCTAAACAATGTAGCAAATGCGTTTTCCAACAAGCACACTAATATCCCCGTCTTAACAGTTCTGAATTCCCGGATTACCGGATTCCCCATTCCCTGTTTTAAAGATAGCCGACTTTTCATACTGTGGGAACTTTTTCCCAGAGGAAGTTCAATGTGTGACGCACATTATGCACATCTTCCTCGCTTGGTTGACCATGTCAACCCACAAACTTCCCGTACGTGCATTCCGTCTTATTTACTAAAATATTAAAAGTTCCTGTTTTTTTAACGTTCGTATTTCCTGTTATTCAAATGTTCCAGTTTACTTTATACATATTTTTTGGTCATAACATTGGCATGTATATATAAATTTTTATTATATATTTAAAATGTTCAATCTGATTTGGCTTGACAAAACATTGCATTTCTAAGCCCAATTTAGACCAAACCAGCAAGATTTATTCTCCGTTTGGTATAGACTTTAGCCATGTATTGTAGGTGCATTTTCACGTATTTTAGCCTTGACGCCGAGCACAAAATTTGACCAAAATAACAGCACTAAGTTGGTACTTCTTCGAAATATACCTCCATTTTGTATGCTCTAAAGAAGCCTCTGCAGAAAGAAGAAGAGCTTTGTATCCATGCCTTATACCCAGTTTCTAGGCAACAAAATATTATGTAATATAATATTTTGTTGCCTAGAAATTTATATATATTCGTAAACATTGTCGGTAAGACTTCAGATGTGGGTAAAAGTGGACATATAATTTTTTGCGCAAAGGTCAGATGGGTCAATCGAGCAAAGCATATAAACACAGAACTTTCGGATGTCTAGCGTTTCTGTTTGCCCCGACCAGCTAAAAATTCTTATGTACGGGGGTTAACCATCCAACAAATAATCGTGAGCGATTAAAAAAGCGTTATAAGCCTGACTGGTTGAAAGCAAGACACTTGTGAACGCTATTATACTTAAGCTCCGCCCCCTATAGTGTCCACAATTTCTCGCCATGTTTGACATGTACATCCTGTGGCTCTTGAGGCACTATTGCCTACCTATAAATACAGAGCAAGATTCAGGGACACTCAGACACCCTACAACCGAAACCTGTATTTGAAAGCCAGCCAAAGTTGGACAAGAACTTGGAAGGAAATTTCAAGATGATGTTCAAAGTACTTCTCATACTCGCCGCTGTATGCGCAAGCAGTAATGGCCAAAGTAAGCTGTACTACTTTATGTGAACTCTAAATCCGCGTCCATTTGTATATGAATGTAAATATATGCAGTATTTAGTATTAAAAACACAGTAGACCTATCGAGCGCACGTCACGTATTTAGTACTAAACGTACAGTAGACCCATAGAAATAATAGATATAGAATGCGTACTTGTCTACTTGATCACGAATCATGCCTCCACTTTTTCTCATGCGTGCCCTTATAAATCCGCCATGTTTGAATCATTGACTAGGAGTGCAAACTACAAAGTATAAACAAAGCTAAAACTACGTTTTCATCGTCAAAACGTTTATCTTGTTGTCTAATTTGTAGTTTGGGGATAGATTTTGAGTTTTTTGAAGGCACAAACTGTCAAAGCAAATGTGCAGTTACAAAAACGGTGAAAATCGTGCAGCCTTGTAAACAAAGTATTTTCGCCGGTTTCTCGAAATTTACTCTTAAAACATTTTTTCATGCTTTGAACGTCACTACTGTCACTGTTTTGCTAATATCTTATAAGATTACAAAATGATAGTTCTTTATTCGTCAGGTTTCGTTTTTCTTTGATGTAAACGAAGGTTTTTTATTTTTTTGAAACAAAAATATTTAGTTGTCGATAGACTGTAAATTGTCTAAATAATCGTCGAAAACTATGGTTTCAAAAGCGTTGCCGCAAGCTCAAGCAACACAGAAAAATATGAAAAGTAATTGTGTAAGTTTAAAAAGATTACTGAACTTCATTTATATTATGTTATAAAAAAGTTGAAGTATTTATTGAACATACCTATTGAGCGGTTTGAGTTTGCGGTCTTGCTTGATCTTTCGGGTTTTGTATTGGCTTGCACAACATCGTTGAAAATTTATTTTTAAACGATGATTTCTGTATATATTCTGTTCAGAACTGTTGCTTTTCGTAAAAAAGCCCACTAGAATGGGTTTTTAGACACTTTTTTCACTTTTTTTCCATTTTAAGTCTCGATGTAAATTTTTTTGCAAACTTTGCATTTGAAAAAACAATTTGCACTCTCTGCAACCGCGCGAAATTCCCATTGAAATTCCCTGCCGCCTGGGAGTCTGGGAACCAAAATGCCCTTATAAATCCGGCATTTTGTGGAGACAAATTTTTCACTGAGAAAAGATAGGAGTACGCATTCTATATCTATTATTTCTATGAGTAGACCTAGCGCGCGCACGTCCGTTTGACTACTATATATATAATTAGTTTAGAAAATTTATAATAAAAATAGAGCTCATGTTGTTCTTTAGAACTCATGGCAAACTTATCAATAGCCTGCAGTATGTTTTTCTTTTTCTTTAGCGTGCATGCATGAAGCAATAATCATTAAATTATTCATGATAGTTCTGCGTTAGCGAGGATCTCAGCCTTGTCTTAACTTACTTCAATTTCGAGAACCATAGTCTTTCACACGAGCATGCATGCATTGTTTCATCAATAAAATAGTTTCTTTTGTGAAAGAAAATTTCCTAAGACACGCCTCCAAGTCGATATTTTCGCGACAATTTGTTTCGCCGACAAATTGTTGGCCGGACTATATAACTTACAATCGGATGGGACAAGAGTTTTCAAATTGTAAAGTTTTTTTATTTGTTCAGTATGAAGCATAACGAATTTTTTCTTTATATACAGATCATATTCCGTGCCCGTGTGGTTGGGAGAAAATCATCACCAGATGTTACCTGTTTGTGAACAAAACGGTCACTTGGGACACAGCTCGCGCAGATTGTCTAAAACGTGGCGGAGATCTAGTCATTCCTACCAGTAACAAAGAATGCGATCTTCTCAGTCAGCGTGCTAAAAGCCTTGGAATGAATATTCCGTGGATTGGTGCCCAGAGGTAAATGATCTCAATTATGTATAGGGTGTATAAAAAGGGTTATCTAACTTTGACATGTTATCGTGTGATCGCATGTATATATAAATTAGGAAAAAAGTTGTGTAGTGGAAATGGGCCCGAAAATTATAGTGCACCTAACCTCAATTCTTTTTATAATTTCATTCTAAAGAACTTCTGAAATGATGTAACAACTTATTTTAAAGATTTCCGTTTCGTCACTTTGTTTCTGAGACATGTCAGTTTGTTTGGTATGCAAATATCCGGAAATTACGTCACAAATGCATAATGATTCAAGGTAAAAGCTTGTATATCGTATTCACTATATCGATTCATTAAAATGAAGTTTGTATATATATATATATATATATATATATATATATATATATATATATATATATATATATATATATATATATATATATATATATATATATATATATATATATATATATATATATATATATATATATATAAGTATATATATATATTTATCACATACTTGTACCTTGATCAGGTAGGAAGCAGCGGGACAAAAACGATATCGTCCCGGATATCGTTTTTTGTCCCGGATATCGTTTTTTGTCCCGGATATCGTTTTTTGTCCCGCTAAATTTCGCGCCTTGTCAAAACAAAGATGGCCGACTCGAGGCCATTGAACTATAAATAAACTGGAAGGCTAACTCAGGGGGGGAAATTGAAGCCAGTGTATTTTAGTTTTTCTGAGTTATGAGCGGAAATACTCAACACTGAACGTTCGGCTATATATCAAATTGAAGCTATTGAAGAACGCTATTTGGTGTAGAAGTTTCAAGACTTTAGCTAAAAGGGAAATATTGAAAAATTACAAACATAATTACCGAAAATTTGCCGTTTTGCAGTTGTTTTTGTATTTTTTAAATACTTTTCTTTTCACTGAAGTCTTGAAATTTCCACACCGAATAGCAATTTTCAATAGCTTCAATTTGATATATAGCCCAACGTTTGGGGTCAAGTATTTCTGCTCATAACTCAGAAAAACTATTTCGGCTTCATCAAATCATAGGCCTTCATCATAGCAGTTAGCCTTCCAGTTTATTTATAGTTCAATGCTCGAGGCTCGTGTTGGTTGATGTCGACAGTTTATCGAAGAAAACAAGAACGATAATACAAAACGAAAGACTTAAATTGTATATTATTTATATGAATGGTCTATTTATTTTCTAAAATCATATTTGTTCAGTAAATGTCTAAATGATGAATTGTTTTGAATTCTAAAATGATCCTATTTTTTCAAAACTGTTTACTTTTGGGTGTCAAACCCTGATAAAGGTACAAGTATATAATAAATAGGTTATCATACTCGGGATTCGGTGATATCAGTTTTATCGCTCGAGGGACGATATCACAATTGTCCCTCGCTCGCTGCGCTCGCTCGTGACAATTGTGATATCATCCCTCGAGCGATAAAACTGATATCACCTCATCCCTTATATGATAACCTATATATACACAGATTAAAACCTACCCATCAATCGGGTCCACAATAATATCTCGTGGTTCGTCCAAAAACCATTTAAACAGAGTTCTTCTCAGCGACCCATCCAGCTTCGAAGTTTCAACAGCATTGGTGGTTGTGCTCGTCCAGTATAATAGCCGACCCGCAAGATCTATAGTTAAACCATCCGCGACGCCAATATCATCGAAAAGCACTTCGAAACCTGTCCCATTTCTGAAAGCTCGGCAGATTATTCTGAGCGTGACGTCAGTCCAGTATACGCGATCCTCGACTCTGTCATATTCCAGTGCCACAGGACGGCTAATGTTGGTATTTTTGTCAAATGGAAGCGCAATAGGTCTCACGTTCATGCTGTCCAGTTGCATCTGGTAGATTTTGCCCGCATCAGCGTCCGCAAACATTATAAATTCTGATAAAGTCAAGGAAATTACGGTTATCGCGCTTCTCCTTAACCAAATTTTCCGTTGGAAGAAATGTCAATCTTCCCAAAATGTATCCAAAATAAGGGTGCAAAAAGTTTTATCAAAACTTCCAACGAATAGGGCAAGTGGACCCGACAAATTACCTAACTGGGTGTTAAAGGAATACTTGTATGTCCTGGCCCTTCCAATCTCATTTATTCTCAACACTTCGTTACCCTTGAGTTAAGCGTGCTTCTGACTTGGTCAAGGACAGGTCACTGATGGTTGCTCAACGTGTCGTCCCGTTATAGTATCATGTGTCGCTGTTTATGGATGCTGACCTTAATCCCCACCCTGACCCAGACAAAACAGCAACACATTAAACTATATCCCATCTTCGTTTTTCTGCCTTCGTCAGTCAGAACAAATATTTTTGCAAATGTTTCGACATTACCATCTCCTCGTAATTTTAATTAAATCATCTCTACAAGACCTAGATCATCCCTATCAGACCCTGAATTATCCCTGCGTTCAGACTGAGTGCCCGGTACTGGTGCCCAACGTTCAAAATGGTTCCCAAAACATGTTGAGCACAGTGCCGTTGTTGAGTACTACCTCTAGAAGTAGTGCCCTTTCTTGGGCACTGTGCCCAATTTCATTTGGAAGCATGTTTAAATTAGGCGCCAAAACAAGTGACGGGCACCAGTGCCGGGCACCCAGTCAGGACGCAGCCTAAAATACCCTTACCATCTGTAAAAGCGTCCTCACATGATTTGTTATCATTCGCCAGTTTCAAGCCAAGCTGACATGCGCAGGAGGTGCCAGTTGGTACCTTATGAAAACATAACTGCTCACAGCCAGCATTATTACTGCCACAATTGCTGGTACCTTGAATAATATAAAACAATTTTAAGATTATTTGCTTGATTGCATTGCTTTGTTAAAGAAATGAAATATCTCAACAATACCCTGGTTTCTTCACCTTCGGGAGACATGGCTAAGAAACAATGTTTCCTGGTTTGTCCACCTTCAGGAAACATAGCTAGGCAACAATGTTTGCTGGTTTGCCCACCTTCGGGAGACATGGCTAAGAAACAATGTTTCCTGGTTTGTCCACCTTCAGGAAACATAGCTAGGCAACAATGTTTGCTGGTTTGCCCACCTTCGGGAGTCATGGCTAAGAAACAATAGGGCCATTTATACGGAACAAAATAAGACGCGACTTACATAAGACGCGACTTAGATAAGACGCGAGTTTGTCGTATAAAAGGTACAAAATTCTTATGTAAGACGCGTCTTGGATAAGACGCGTCTTACATAAGAACAGGCCTTTTAGCTGTTCTTATCTAAGTCGCGTCTTAAATAAGAAATTTTGGACAAAAAGTCTAACTACACATGCCAGAAACTTGAAACAACGTAAAATTATTAGCCTTGCATATTAAAAAAAACAAAAACAAAACAACATTATAGCTATAGCAAATAAATAAGACCAAAGCCGTAGAGAACCATTTATGCGATAACTCCGCTTATTTAAGTCGCGTCTTATGTCCACCTTCGGGAGACATGGCTAAGAAACAATGTTTCCTGGTTTGTCCACCTTCAGGAAACACGGCTAGGAAACATGTTTCCTGGTCTGTCCACCTTCAGGAAACATAGCTAGGTAACAATTTTTCCTGGTTTGCCCACCTTCGGGAAACATGGTTAGGTAACAATGTTTCCTGGTTTGTCCACCTTCGGGAGATATGGCTAGGAAACATGTTTCCTGGTCTGTCCACCTTCAGGAAACATAGCTAGGTAACAATGTTTCCTGTTTTGGCCACCTTCGAGAAACATTGTTTCCTAGTTTGTCCGCATTCTAGAAACATGGCTAGAAAACAATCTTTCTCCATAACAATCTTTACTGGTGTCCAAAGACCTAAGAGGGTCTGAATGGGGTTAACTGACTACAGACATTTGCCCGAATTTTTGATTGACAACTGACAAAATGTCCTAACTGACAACTGAGAAATAATGACAAAACCATGAGTCAGCTTTTTTGCAGTAACTGACTACTGACAGCTTGCAATATATCGCACTGACAACTGGCTTAAATTTTAGCTGACAACTGACACCCATAGACCCCCATTAAGACCCTCACCTAAGCCATCGACCTACGCAAAGATATACTAACCAGATTGTTGTTTTGAACTGTCAACGACTCGAAGTCCCATAGCTCCCTTGATAGCATTTGTTGTTGGTATGGAAATATTCCGAACTACGACACCAGAGCTTATTTTCACTTCAACCATAGCGTTTTGCAGCCAGTCCGTAAAATATACGGAATCTCCAGTAATGTCCAAATCAAACCCATGAAACTGTGATAGAGCTAGGGAGGTGTCCTCAAAGATCAGTTTTCTTTGATTACCATCGTAATCTACAGAGTTAATGGTATCATGGTTTGCGTCAATCCAGTAAACTAGCTTCTGGATGGTATCAAGGGTAACCCCATTAGGCCACGTGATGTTATCTTTGACCAATGGTACTCGGTTAGTGCCGTCTAGGGAGCATCGTTCGATAGCTGCTGTGACTCCCCAGTCCGACCAGAAGAGGTAGCTAGGAAGAAAAATAGATGAACTAAGTTATACTTCGGTGGCTTCGTTGGCGCAGTCGTCAGAGTAAGCGTCTTTCACCTCTGAGTTCGTGAGTTTGATTCTCGCTACGGACTCATGTGAAATAGCCCGCGTGCAGGCCCAAGGGACCTGATAGTGGGAACAGTGAACTATATACATGGAAGGCTGACTTCAGTCAGTGACGTAATCAAAAAGTGAAGCCAAAGATGGGGGATTTTGAAGGCATTCGAATTGCGCGTCATTCTCAGTCTCCTTACCCGCGCGGCCAAACATTTTTTTTTATTTTCAATTTTTCATGGCGGGAAGTGATGGTTCCGCGACTCTCGGGTTCGGTTTTTCTTCATTTTAAAAGAGCAAAAAGCGAAATAAACTTCATTTATTTCATGTAAACCTGATTTCCTTCATCTAATCGATCTGTCTACTGCATTTCCCACTGTGTGTGTGAGTAAATCTGTATTTTTCATTGCGAATTCAACAACTAATTTCAAACTTTTTTTGTTTTTTTTTAATAAATCTGTATTTTTATAAATTGGGAATTTATTTTTGCTTTTGTTGTTTCACTTTCCTGTTTTTATGGTGCTTTTCAGTTTTCACACCATTATTTAGCTTATTTTAGTCCGTTTTCCAGACCTAAAACTGCTTTTTAACTGCAGTTTTCGAGGCAGTTTTTAACCAATTTAATTTCATACATGTAAGAAAATTTTGTTTTTTTATTTTCTATTTAATAAAATCACTTTGATGATTGCTTTATAAACTTAAACTGTTTATTTTAATGAGTTATTTATGTGTGTGAAACCCTTGTCAATAGGGGCAATACAGATATTTTGAAAGATTGAGTGACATTTGTGTTTTGTTTTGTCACTCTTTGTCATTTACAAAAACAACAATCCCGCGCTATTTTGCTTTCTTTCCACTCAAATATCGCATCTTTTAAATAAATAATAATTAAACTTTAGAACCGAACCCAAACAAAACACCAGAATTCAACTTTTCATTGAAATTTCGTCTGTTTTTATCAGGTTTTTACTCGGAAAATAAGGAAAAATATAAAAGTTTAGTTGACCGCGTACGTAAGGGGACTGAGAATGACGCGCAAGAATGCCTTCAATTTCCGCCATGTTTGGCTTCACTTTTTCAGCTCGAGTCAGCCTTCCATGTTATATAGTTCAGTGAGTGGGAACTGATATCAGTTCCCTTGGGCCTGCACGCGGGCTAATGTGAAAAGAGTCTGTCAACGCTCTGCCGAAAGTCGTGGGTTTTCTCCGGGTGCTCCGGTCTCCTCGCGCAGGGAAAGTCGACGGGGCGGGTTAGGCACAGTTAAGAAAGTAACATCTCAATTGTTGTAAAGATAAAATAGTGTAGGCTAAGGCCCCGTTTACATGAGACGGGGACGAAGTCAAACCGAAATGAAAATTAAAATTGTGAACATGTTTACACGAGACCGGTACGAAAATCACAAAATTTTCAATTTATTCCCCTTGCCAGGCAATTTTCTGTTTCAGACGGCTTTTGTTAGCATGTGTTGTTCCAATGTCGAGGTTACAGCCGAGACCGGTCTGAAATGTATTTGTGTTTACATTCATCCCAGTCTGAATTCATGCCGGTCTGAAGTCAGTCGGTTCGGTTTCCAGCAGGCGGAATGACTTGAGAGCGGTCCGAGTTATTTGTGTCCCGCTCTCATGTAAACATCTGTTATAAATAATACTATGACCGAAACGAAATGATCCCGGTTTGACTTCGTTCCGCTCTCATGTAAACGGGGCCTAAGTATGTAAGCTTGATAGGGAGGAGGGGGCTTACGAGAGAAGCGGGGGATGGGTTTATCAGAGAGAGAGAGAGAGAGAGAGAGAGAGAGAGAGAGAGAGAGAGAGAGAGAGAGAGAGAGAGAGAGAGAGAGAGAGGGCATAGTAGAGAGGAGGGGGTTGATAGACAAAGCTACATCAAACCACATACCCTGCAATAGGATCGACTGCCATTCCCCGGGGGTACTCCAGTCCTGCGTTAATCAAAACCTTCCTGTACTTCCCATCAAGCGTCGCGACCTCAATCGTCTCGGATTTATAAGTCGTCCAATACAACTTACGACCGATCCAATCAATGGCCACTCCTTCCACATTCTTGACGTCCTCCATAATTAATGTTTTGCTGGAACCGTCATAATTTGAACGATATATACGTCCAAGGGAGTGCTCCCCAAAGTACATGTGGTTATATACCGTGTCCACTCCTAGAGGGACGACTCGGTCCAGTCCTCCCAACAGGTTACTCCGCGTATTGGTGCTCAAGTCGAAAGCATGAATGTTGGTAATGTTAGAATAGATGATGAATGGCTCCGCGGGTAACGCAGCTAGGAATAAATAAAGAGATGCGTTGAAATTTGATGTGGAAAATCCAGAGAGAAAATCTATAAACTCCTTTATTTATACTGATAGCTCTTTCAGTTCTAAAGTTTGGTTTACACCATCAAAGTTTTGAAGGATCTGTAAGAAATGTTTGAAGGGACTGACTTAGTGTTTAACACCGAGTCAATGGACCTTTCCCCTTATAACTAAAATGTTGATCTAGATAAGTCTGGACAAAAATTTTATCACAGCTTGAAAGAGCATCACAAAATTAGTAATATTCCAAAGTTTCGTTGCGAAATGTTGTAAAATGCGGGTAATATAGCGTTGCGAAATTTGCCGTTTTTCAGTCATTTTGTATTACGCATGGGAAATTGACAGCCCAATCGGGTGTTGGGGCATCAATTTCCCGTTTGTAATACAAAATGACTGAAAATTGCAAATTTCGCAGGGCTATATTATCCGCATTTTACACCATTTCGCAACGAAACTTCGGAATATTACTAATTTTGTGATCCTCTTTCGAACTGTAATGAAATTTTTGTCTAGACTTGTCTAGATCAAAATTTTAGTCATAAGGGGAAAGGTCTATTCCCTCAAACTTTTCATATAAATCCTTCAAAACTTAAAATTTATATATGCAAAATTCCTATGGATTAAATTAAACTCGTATATGTGGCTGATTCAATTGACCCACTGACCACACAATAGATTATTTCGCTAATTAATACCATGCATGCCTAGACGTGTCTCTTAATTTAATCTTTTCAAGTGACTTTGCACTGCGGGAAACATGGTTACGAAACAATGTCGCTTGGTTTGTGCATACCTTCAGGAAACATAGCTAGGAAACATTGTTCCTGGTTTGTTCACCTTTAGAAACATGGCTAGAAAACAATGTTTCCTGATTTGCCCAGCTTTGGGCCGGAAACGTGGCCAAGGAAACAATGTTTCCTGGTTTACCCAGCTTTGGGAAACATGGCTAGGAACTGGTCGAAATGATGTCTGAACCTAACAGGCAAATTCCAGTCCTAAACGATGACGTCAGTCAGTCGTGCGTAAATTTGACAATGTTCACAATGGGGTACCAATTTGATTTTTAGTATAATTACTTAAACACGTATTGTCATGAAAAAATATAGAGATTTAAGCGGCTTTATTTTTATCTTCCCACGAAAACAAGAAGATAAAATGCTTCACTGACTATGGTTCCTGATTTTATGTCCTTGTGAATTACTATAGCATAAGATTTTCTATTTGGTCGCGGTTCTTGTGACCATTTAAGACAAAGATACTGTCGGTCACTAAGTAATACGAGCTAGATAATACCAAGCATGCCCAGACGTGTCTATAAATCCATTAAATGGGCGGAAAAAATTCAAATAAATAAAAAAAATTCTGGCGTATGAAAAGTACTGCCATGATTCATCTTCATTTGGGTCATCTTCTACCTGTACTATCCAGGCTCGTGGTTGAAATGAAAGACAATAAAACTATAGACTATAATTACGGGAACCATGCACTCATTATTTTTATAAAATACAAAAGAACAGTAACTCCGAATAACATTTTGTTTTGATTTATTGAATCTACGTTTCGACTAAATTGTAGTCATCTTCAGGATTCAGGATCCTGAAGATGACTACAATCTAGTCGAAACGTAGATTCAAAATGTTATTCGGAGTTACTGTTCTTTTGTATTCTATAGACTATGGCAGCGTTTACACTGTACCGTTTTCGTAGCGTTCTCGTATTGTTCTTAATCCTCAAGGGAACGCAAGACAATAGTCTAGTTCTCTCGAACAAGACGAGAACGCTACGAAAACGGTACAGTGTAAACGCTGCCTATATGTCTTGCTAAAGAACGAGTCACGAACAATGATCATTTTTGTTTCTGATTTGTTTCTGAAAGCCAATCACAAAACATGAACATTTTAGATAGGTCTTTACCCCTTCATTTGGCTTCATCAGTGGGCGAAATTTGAAACACAACCGCTTAGATAGGTCTTTACCCCTTCATTTGGCGACATCAGTGGGCGAAATTTGAAACACAACCACTGATTGTAATACGCGGTGCTATTCAATTACATATTCGCCAAAATACGAATTGAAAATAGTCGCAGCGTGTAGACGTTACGTATACTTTAAAGAGGATTTGAAGTTAGTGTTTCGTCGTTTTAAGCGACACTTTAAAAAATGATAATTAGTAGTTTCCTCGGGAAATTAAACACAAGTGGAAGCTCAAGTATATTTAAATGATTCTCTTCAACGTTGTGCACTCTCATAATTCACAAAACGAAACAATTATTTTTATAACAAAACGAAACAATTATTTGTATTAAAAGTGCGGGCTACAATCCTATAAGGGACTTATTAAGACGAGGAACTTGTAGTACAGTAATGAATTTAGTACATTAATAGGCTCAGTGTTTGAGAACGGAATACACTATTTTCGCACCGCGCGTGACCCTAATTGCAGATTGCGAAATACAAGCAGAATTTCAACGTTGGGAAGTTTCTTCTCGGGAAGTTTCTTCTCGGGAAGTTATCGCAGCTGTCTCGTTATCGTTTACAAATAAATTTAAAAGCGCGAAATATGTGGGTCCAAACATTTTAACCCCTTCGGAATTTTTTCCGACTCCCCTTACTACCTTAAAGCAGAAACTCGACGTTTCGAGCGAAGGCCCTTCGTACGCTTCGCACTAACTCTTGACGAAGGGCCTTCGCTCGAAACGTCGAGTTGCGAAGCGTTTCGAGCGAAGGCTAACTCTTGACGAATGGCCTTCGCTCGAAACGTCGAGTTTCTGCTTGTTTTTTAAGGTAGTAATATAACCACTCAGCACAGCATTTTCACATTGGTACTACCCACACTGGTACAGACAGTTTTAGTACATATATATATATAAATTTTATTTCGTGTTTCTAATCTAATCAGGCGTCCAAAGTCGGTTGCTATTCAACCCCTTTCTTTGATCCTCGCTTTGATCTATATGATGCGTATCATGTTAGACTATTATACTGCAACGTAGGTAGCCGTTGTAAGTGGTTTGTTTTGAAACCTCCCGCGATTGTTTTGAATTTTTTCAGCCAGTTCAGTAAAAACATGCGACAGGCGAGACGTACTGACCCTCAGTGAACCTCTAGGTTTTGAAACGAAAGTGAAAGAGTTGTCGAGTAAAATAAAGTAGGTTCAGTCTGGCACATGCAAAGTTAATGCTATACCGTTTATATATGAGCTAGGTCTAGGTTATATGAGCTAGGTGATGATCAATTTCTACTATGTTTGAACAAGCAAAGATCTACCACAAAAGAACTAGGCATGCATGCGTGCTTTACCTATTGCGCTAATGAGACTACAGGAAATGCGCATTGTACTTTCAATACACCTACTGCATATTTTACATGGATTTATGAAACCGGCGACATGTAAACATGCACGGGCAAAACAGTCAGAGCAATATAACCTTATATATAAACTTATACGAGTTTCCTGTTTGTGTCGGAACATCAATGAAAAGATTAAAAACAGCCGACGATTCGAACGAAAGCTGTCTTCATCAGACATCTTTTTCAGGTAGTTCAGACACAAACCACGCCAGTTTATTGTAGAATACTATCTACATTGGACCACCACGTTTGAGATATCTTTTTCAGGTAGTTCAGACACAAACCACAACAGACTACATACGCTGGACCCCCAAGACAGCCAACAAAGTACCTTTGAGATATCTAGTCTTCAGGTAGTTCAGACACCAACCACGACAGCTTATTGCAGAATACTACCTACACTGGACCACCACGTTTCAGATATGTTCTTCAGGTAGTTCAGACACAAACCACGGCAATTTATTGCAGAATACTACCTACACTGGACCACCACGTTTGAGATATCTTTTTCAACTAGATCAACTAAGGAAACCACGACAGACTATCTATGCTGGACGTTCGGACAAGTTCAGTCACAAAACGACGACGACAATTTATTGCAGAATACTACCTATACACCGGACCTTCTTCTTAAACGTTTTCATACCTGTATAGCTGCTCAGCGCCAGCAGTGCAGAGACCAGTAAACACAGCATCTTCGAACTCCCAGTATCCTACGACCAAACGCCAAATTTCAAGAATCTGCAATTAAAAAATGCCACTGTATTAGAAAGAAACTTGATACACCAGATAAACTATCCACAGTGACCTCTAGAACTTTACATTTCACTAATTACTTTGGCTAGTGTTTTAGGCACTGAAAAGTTTAAGTCTTTCTAATATTTATATACAGGGTGAGTAAAAAAGTGACACCTTTGTTATTCAAATTAGCCGCGAAGATATCAGTCCTTTTTTACTCACCCTGTATATTAATAACTACCCCAACAAATGCACATGAAATCAAACACAACGCTAAATACTTTGCTTCCCTTTTTAATTCCGGCTTTCATAATTAACCTATAAATCAGCACCCAAAAGCAAGCGTAAGGAAGCTGTGATACAAACCACCCAGTAAAAAATAGAAGGAAAAGCTAATCAGACAAAAGCGACACAAACGAGGAAGCATAAGGGTTGGCAGTCACAAAACTTGATTACAGTCCATAATTGGATTTCAACTCTCTGAGAGGGGGTACGTTTTTCTGATACCATTTTTGACCTTTCCTAGTCCAAGGTATCAATTGCCGTAACTATAACGCGACGATTGCGCTATGCCACGGATAGCCTCCCGTGGCTGTTCGAAAAAACATCTATCCGACACGGAAGGTACAACTTTCAGAAGCTGAACGAAACAACATCTCTCCGTTGCAATAATTCCTCTGAAAGAGAAATTATTATTTTCTCTTACGGAGTACCACCTGGACAATGCTATTTTACAACGTGTTCAACAGGAAAACGACCTAGGAGTTATCGTCAATAGCAAGCTATCTTGGGACGCTCACATCTCCTCAATCGTCAGCAAAGCTAACAGGATGCTCGGTCTCCTGAAGAGAACATGTCCTCTCATCACAGACACCAAAGTTAGACGAACACTTTATCTAGCCTTGGTAAAGTCGCAGCTGTGCTACGCAACTGAGGTTTGGTCACCTTCAAACGCAAAGTTGCAGATTCTCTTAGAACGAGTACAGAGACGGGCAACTCGATGGATTCTAAGAACTAAAGTTGGAGAGCTGTCATATGAAGACAGGCTGAAATCTCTAAACCTATTGCCACTAACTTATGATCGAGGAATCAGAGATCTTGTGTTGGTTTATAAATGTATTTTTGGTCATACCGATTTAAACATTAATCAACTTTTAACCTTCGTAGAGCACAATCGATCTCGCGCACAAAATCCAGCCCTAATGTTAAAACACTCCTGCTGTAAAACATCCACCTTTCAGGCATCGTTTTTTAATAGAATAGTAAAGCCTTGGAACTATATATGTAAAATAGCCTCTCCTGAAAAGTTTGCCAATGTAAATATTTTTAAAAGCTTTTTGCACAATACATACACCGCCTTGGTGAACAGTACTTTTAATGTAGATATGACATGTACTTGGTCGCTCATAAGAGACTGCCAGTCCCTTGTCACCGTACTTAAGTCCTAAGTTATATATGTATATTCTGTATAGTAAATAAGTTTGTTTTCACTAGTTTAGTTTAGGGGTGGCGCCCTGCATGGGTCTCGTTGTCCTGTTTGCGCTAGCCCCATTGGACGTATACCCTGTAATTTTCTTTGTTTGTATAATAATATGTAACCTTTTATATGTATGTCCAATAAAGCTGTTAAAAAAAAAAAAAAGAAAACAGCGTTCCTAAAAGGTACGGATAGATGTTTTTACGTCGCTACCAAAAGTCATCGGGTACAGTGTAAAACGTAGCCTTAGTTGGTATATGTGTACAGGTCTGACATGACTTGGCAAGAAACATATTTGACATATTTGGACTGATTGGACTAACGAAAGTTGGGGTCTTGTAGTATACATGCAATGCTGCTTCTTGTTCTAACTCGTAGTTTGAATATCTTTCAGAATCTTGTACTTTATGCGTTTTATTTTAAAGACTACAGGTACACATTGAGTATTGCTGTATTGACACTATAGCGCAAGTACAAGGCAATACAAACTAGTACACACTAGCACAAGTACGAGGCAATAGTCCTGATTGGTGTACCAGTCAGGTACGACTAAAAATCCAGAATTATCGCACCCTGGTACAATACACATTTCTCTCAAAGTATCTTGAAAAGTGTGAAATGTTCCCTGCAACAATGCGTGACTACCAACTCTCACCGACCCTCACGAATTCGCGTGACCCAACGAATTCTCGATTGCAAATTGTCAAGGTTTGTCCAAACAGTCGCACGGCACGCACGTATTAACTGCAGGACTGAAACAATTCGAGCACAACGAATTGTGTACACTTTGTACACTTCCGAATTCGCACTTCCCTTTGCGTCAACGTGGCCGAAGAACGTACAAATACACGTGAACTTCATGCCATAGATTAATACCTTTCCAGGAACTACCTTTAAAAATCCTTAATATAAATTGTGTTCGTGAAAAATTGCCAGTAAGGAAGTCGGACAGCAACTACGCATTTAAAAATGTCCCATGTTTACATTGCCATGGGTAACCCTGACTTACATAAGCTTATGTACTTAAGAATTAAATTCCATATACGGATTAACGGAATTCCATATACGGATTACTGAAATTGAACAGTAATCCGATAAAAAAAGTTGGTAATGTTCTTTAAATTTGCGGCTCAACCATTTAGGTTTCTTCCTGTAGAAACACTGGATCAATAAGAGATGATCCTTACTGGGCCTCTAGGAAGAACAGTTTAGAGCTGATAGAGCTATCCAGTATAAATAAAGTTAGTTTAGTTTAGGTTTCCTGCTGTAGTAACACTGGATCAATAAAATATGATCTTTATTGGACCTCTAAGGAGAACAGTTTAGAACTGATAGAACTATCCAGTATATAAATAAAGTTAGTTTAGTTTAGGTCCTCCTGTAGTAACACTGGATCAATAAGAGATGATCTTTACTGGACCTCAGAGGAGAACAGTTTACAACTGATAGAGCTATCCAGTATAAATAAAGTTAGTCTAGTTTGGGTTTCCTCCTGTAGTAACACTGGATCAATAAGAGATAATCCTTACTGGACCTCTGGGGAGAACAGTTTAGAACTGATAGAGTTATCCAGTATATGATAACTATACAGTACACCTGGCTATCTTGTATATGCTGTTCCTTTTTTATGCGGTGTAAAAATATTGGCCTGCTTTAAATGGAGATGGGTCATTCGCCGTCAAGATACATCATCAGATTATTTGTCTGATAGACCATAATCCGTGATCCGTCTTAGTTTATGTATATGTACAAGATGAACAAAGACAATCTGTCTTTTGCTGTAGAATGGCCAAGGTAACTGCCAAAGCTTGTCGAAACGATGCTTGACATTAATTTTCCGTTAGCTTACCTACTGCTGTATTGATTGCTCCCGTCAAGAAACATATAACTACAATACAGCGCGATTTATCCAGGCAATGCATGGGAACAAAACGTGAGTATATACAAACGTAAAAACACGCAATTATAAGTTGTTACAGATCCGCAAACAAGTTGTAAGAAAACAAGGTTACAAGCCGATACCACGGGATGTATTCCCACTGCTTGTTCCCAGTTGTTGTGACAAGTCTGGAACAAGTTGTCAGTATCACATTCTTACATTGCCCCCCCCCTCAAAAAAAAAAGGGCGACTAAAGGCTACACAAGCGTTTTGTCGTTATCGGAAAATGTATGGCTTATAAGTTGTCAGTACTCATTAGTGAATGAGCGTATACATGAAACTGTTTTTTACAGTTTCAATATTAGTTTGTAAATCTCTGAATGGTAAAACTTGCCAATACTCCAATAATACGTTTCAAAAAAAGACAAAAAAGCTTTAGTTTTGCAGAGTTAAATTCTCAAACGTGTAAGGCAATAATAAGATGAAAGTATCACGAAATTATTTGAATAAACCACGTCGCATATATGGGGGGCGAATGTCCTAAAGAGGGGCAATATTCCTAGGGTATTCGCCCCCCCCCTGGGAGGCGATATTCCTAGGAATATCGCCACGTTTTGAGGGGGGCGAATCTCTTGGGGAGGGGGGGGGGCAACCTTTTTAAAAATTCTATCTTGCCCCCCCCCCCAAATTTGAGTTTGCCCCTCAAATGCCCCCTCAAATTTGGAGGCCTGGCGCCGCCACTGCATTCTTACAAGGTTGGTGACGGTAACAGACTTGTTACATGTGAAGTTAATTGTTCCAAGTTGCTACGAGCTTGTTGCAACAAGTTGCTACGAGCTTGTTGCCATCAACCTAACGTATTACTTGCACACGATATCAGACTTTTTGCATGGAACAACTTGTTGCAAGCCCGTTAGCCTATAGTCAACCCTGTTACAAGATGATAACAACTTGTTCCACACTTGTCAACAACTGGGAGCAAGCACGATGTGCGAACCGCACATCTTGTTGCATGGCAAGCTGTGAGATTTTCGCACTTATCAGAAGAAATGTCTTTTCTTTGCCCATGGCCAAGTTCGACCAGACAGATCCATCTATTTTTACTATGGACGTCTATGAACGAGGTTACGAATATAAGATTATCAAGCCGATCTTTTTCCGACATGTTTATATCGCGGATACGTGCAGCAAAAACTGAATAGGTCTAAATTGCTTTTCTGTCAGTTCAGCATGATACAAGAAGTAAACATTGGCTCTATTTGAATATTTTAACATAAATAGATGTACTATATATTACCGAATATTTTTGAAAAATTAATACAAACGTTTAAGCTTTCTAAACCAACATATCATGATGCATGCATATACAAAAACAGACACTTTAGTGCTACAGTTGGCAACTAATAAGTTTATTACAAACAAGCACATATAGTGGACATTTCGTATATAACACACAAGTTTGTCACTGTCAATATTACAACACTGAATCATGACAAACATATTCTCGTCATAACTTGCCTTGTCATTTATTTTGATCTAGAACTATGTAATGACATTTGGCAAACTGTCAAAAATACCTATAATAACTATATGCCCTGTGGCAGTTTAGTACAATCAAACATTTTATATTTTAAACAGTACTGTATGTATTGCAGAGAATATTTTCCAAAACAAACAAATGCAGTAGAATTTTTATCATATAAAACTACAATGTCGTTTCTGTTGACATAAGAGTTAACATATTTGAGATTTTGCCAACATTACATAAAGTACATACCCTATTTTAAAGCGTTTTTCCTGAAAAGTTCCGTATTGTAAAATACTTGCCATAATGGTAAATTCAGGATGTTTTTATTGTTTGACTGTCCTATACTGTTGCATTTCGAGATTTGCATATAAGCGATAAGATTGGTTTAGCAGACGAGCAGGTGCTTTGATTATTTAATATCCTAGGGAATAAATTAGCTCTTATAGACTTCGTCGGTTAGTCAGACTTGCAGGTTAATGCATGCATGAGCCTTTAACAATCACTGGACCTCCAGGGAGAATGATTTAGAACTGATAGAACTATCTGATACAAATAAAGATAGTTTAGTTTAGGTTTCTTCCTGTAGTAACACTGCATGGATCAATAATAGATGATCCTTACTGGACCTCTAGGGAGAACAGTTTAGAACTGATAGAGCTATCTAGTGTAAATAAAGTTAGTTTAGTTTAGGTTTCCTCCTGTAGTAACACTGGATCAATAAGAGACGATCCTTACTGGACCTCTAGGGAGAACAGTTTAGAACTGATAGAGCTATCTAGTGTAAATAAAGTTAGTTTAGTTTAGGTTTCCTCCTGTAGTAACACTGGATCAATAAGAGACGATCCTTACTGGACCTCTAGGGAGAACAGTTTAGAACTGATAGAGCTATCCAGTATAAATAAAGTTAGTTTAGTTTAGGTTTCCTCCTGTAGTAACACTGGATCAACAAGAGATAATCCTTAAGGCTAATTTCCACTCAGGAATATTATTCGTGGATTGGAACGGACAAGAAAATTTTTCTTTGTCTTGTGAGCTTTGGGTTGGAACTAATGACTTTAACACAAAGAAAAATTTTCTTGTCCGTTCCAATCCACGGATAATTTTCCTGAGTGGAAATTAGCCTTTACTGAACCTCTAGGAAGAACAGTTTAGAACTGATAGAGCTATCCAGTATAAATACAGTTAGTTTAGTTTAGATTTCCTCCTGTAGTAACACTGGACCAATAAGAGATGACCCTTACTGGACCTCTAAGGAGAATAGTTTAGAACTGATAGAGCTATCCAGTATAAATAAAGTTAGTTTAGTTTAGGTTTCCTCCTGCATGTAGTAACATTGGATCAGCAAGAGGTGATCCTTACTTAGAGCTATCCAGTATAAATAAAGTTCGTTTAGGATCGGATAAAGCCGGGAATCATGTCTATTCATTCAAATGACAACCGCTGTGAGTTGCACCATTGCATGCCAGAACACTGTCGCAATTTAATTACACCAAGTCTTATACTAATGAAAAATGCAGCACACACGCGGGGTCTCCTATTCAGCATATGCTAACGTGAAACAGCGAAGTTCAAACGTCAACCCGAGATGCTAATACTTAATACTTAATACGTCACGATTGCTCAATGCATTTCAGACCAGGCGAAGGCCAAGAAATCTCTAGAAATCGAGAAATCGATTTAATACAACATATTCTATAGATGCGCTAGCGAGCTAAACGGCAATGCACGATCCTTTTTCGTAGAGCGAAAATTTCAATACAAATGAAAATGTTTTGGAATGTGGCATGTTATGTTTAATTTTCTTTTTTGTTTTCGTGTCTGGACAAAAGCGAAACCGCAGTCACGATTCGGTAAACACTTCCAATTCTTGCAGATTGACTCGGTCTTAAATCTTAATCTGTATTAAGAAGCTCGACAGTACAATGTATTGTCTTGATTGTATATACAGTATGTATTGAGTATATAATACGGCTATTCTTATCCTGCTATATTGATGAAATGGCACATTTTATGCACATTTCATGCATTACGTAATTAATAAACGAAATAAACGAGTTGAACCCATATTATAATTGTGACTGTACTTATATATGGTGTTTCCCAGAAAACAATTATATTTATCACGAAGGAACATGTATACAGGAACTTGCTATATTTACTGTCTTGAGAGGAAGCGATAGAAATTGAGTAAGTGGGGTACTGTGTTAATCATCCTTACTTGCAGCTGAGAGCTAAGCTGAATTAGGAGGGACGCAGCTCAACCTAGGCTTTCCTAGGTCGTCTCCGGCAGCCACCTTATGACTCATGTCTGACCACGGAGCACACAACTACGGGGGAAGGGTCAGTTATAGGGGGCTAACCCAAACCCACCCTGTCAACATTCCCTGTGCATGGGAGGAGACCGGGGTATCCGCAGAAAACCCACGGCTTTCGGCAGAACCTTGACTGACTCTTGCAGTTTTACAATCGAACCCACGATCTCAGAGGTGAAACTGGCGCTTGCTCTGATGACCGTTACCGAAGCCCCTCTAAAGAAGTTTCGAAAACAATTTTGGTAACAAGCAAAAATCTTTCGTTTAAAGTTGGTCCATAGCCGCTACAATTTGGCCACAATTCAAATTTTCGGTCTACGATTCAAAGCAGTCTAATGTTGTTTGTCGTTATAGATTCGACCTTAATGTTGTATACAAATTCAGAATCAAGTCAAAATTGAACCACCATCAGGCAGCATTATCATACATATAATGTTCTGGGAAACAGACACAACGGTGTAAGATGTTATAGACCAAGATGTTGGACGAGGTCTTAATGTATACCATATACCAACAACTGTTTAATCGCTTTAATTGTGTTAGAACATAAGCGATGATGAAACTGCTTAATTTAAGGAAACCCCTTTTTTGGCGGACTACAATATTAAAAGAGTATAAACCTACTCAAAACATTTTGACTTACGGTTTAGTTATGCTGCATCATTACAAAACGATCAAAGCATTAATACAAAATTCCACTTCTCATATAATTCCTAATGAAGTTACATAACAGCCCAGTTCTTCTAGGGGGTGAACTACGAAATACTTCCATATAATATATCATGTTGATACTTGCTTGACATACAATGTACCAATGTGGCTAAAAGTCTCATAGTTATGGAGCCTATTTCAATCACTGTTTCACATCTTCTCTTTCCTATGTATCTAGTATAAATTTAGAATACATTATCTGCCGCATTTTTTTAGCCATTTTAACAATTCTATATAAAACATAGCGAAAGTGAAATTACACTAACCAAACACTATAATAACTTTCTAGGTGCACCCAAATTTCGTCCTGTTGACGTTGCAGGGAGAACAGTTCAGAACTGATATATAGCGCTACCCTGCAGCATCTACAATCCTGGTCAAAAATATTGGCGCACTTGACACTGACTGTGCGAAATTTGACTCCCACTTCAATAACAAGCATAGCATGCAACCCTCCCTTTCCCCCGTTCAATGTTGTCTGTAGTGTGTTATACGTCCAAAGTGTTACACAACATTGATAAGGGGGATATAGGGGGTGTTTGGACATGAAACTTTGCATAAAATGGGCAAGTATTTACATGGTAATCAGAAATGAAGTAAAGGTTATGCTATTTCGACTAAGTGCGCCAACGATTTTTGACCAGGATTGTAGTACAAATTACGAATACATTATCTACCACATTTTTTATTAGCTATTTTAACAATTCCATATAAAACATAGCGAAAGTGAAATTACACTAACCAAACACTATAATAACTTTCTAGGTGCACCCAAATTTCGTGCTGTTGGCGTTGCAACATGCATCCGACCAATAAAAACGGACCTTACGAGACTTCTGGGGAGAACAGTTCAGAACTGATAGCGCCAGATCTAGTATAAATTTCGAATACATTATCTGCCACCGTTTTTTTAGCCATTTTAACAATTCCATGTAAAACATAGCGAAAGTGAAATTACACTAACCAAACACTATACTGAATAACTTTCTAGGGCCAATCAAATTTGTTCCTGTAGTAACATTGGACCGATAAAGGACAGACCTTACTAGACTTATAGGGAGAACAGTTCAGAACTGATAGCGCCAGATCTAGTATAAATTTCGAATACATTATCTGCGACCGTTTTTTTAGCCATTTTAACAATTCCATATAAAACATAGCGAAAGTGAAATTACACTAACCAAACACTATACTGAATAACTTTCTAGGGCCAATCAAATTTGTTCCTGTAGTAACATTGGACCAATAAAGGACAGACCTTACTAGACTTATAGGGAGAACAGTTCAGAACTGATAGCGCTACCCAGTATATATAGAAACAAAAATTAAGTTAGTTTAAAACGGTAGTGATGTCAATATAATTAAAATCCCTGACCAGAACAAAATTAATCGACAATTTTTAAAGTTACCCTTTTAAGAGAAACTTTTGTTTAGCATTTACGAATGCCCAGAAATTTATAGAAACTAGCTTTCACTAAACGCTGACTCAAAAGCATAAACGTTTCAGTGGTGACTGTAGCGAACAATTGGCATGACGCATTAGAATAACACTTTAAATCAAAGCACACATCGACAAAAACTTGAATTGATCGGTTTTAAAAAGTGTTATTGGGATATCACCATATCAGGGCGCAAATTCAATGTATTTATTTGCCTTTAAATAATACGAGACGCTTTCAATTCCGAATGTAAAAGCTTGCCTTTAAATAATACGAGACTGTCATATATAATAAAAAAGAGCATTACTCCATTACTTTTTAATGGGCAACATCTGGTGAACGATAGGGCTTAATGACATCCACCCTGTAAACAAATCCTTGAGCGGAGACGCTCAGATCTAACTACATAAGCTCACCTGTTGTTGGAGGCCAGATAGTTTCAGTAAAATTCTGTGGTCGAATTCTGTGACAACACAATTCAACGATGCAACGACTGTTCTGGCATCCAGCTGGCTGTTGAATATAATGGGAAACAGTCATTATGTGTGCAAAACATGCATTTAAATCTACATTAAATGTGCAATAGCCTGTAACCTCCGCTCCATAACTATTCGCCTATTGAATCCTGTATCGATTCCTTAGCACTTCAAAAGGAATTACCTTTCCCCGTTTTATATTGCTTCCTCCACCGATAACATTACGTTTCAAGCGCTTAAAATATGTTTAAACAAGTACATTCGGAAAATTACAAGACAAAAATCTGCAACATTCTTAATAATTAGTTTTTGCCTGTCGGTAGGGTCACTTCAAAGCATCTGCAAGATTAATCACGACAGTCTAGCTATATTGTATTTGCCAAATAAATATTTGCTAGTCATACGACAAAACACGTCAAAAAACTGTCTATGGTTGTAATGTTTATATACCTGATGCTTTAAAAATATAATAGTTTCAATTTCTAATCGAAAGTTACATCGGTTATGATTTTATGCCAACAGCAGGGGGGTCAAGTGGGCTTATTGTCAGGGGAAACAATGAGCACTTCGCTTCATTTGTTTTTAAGCCTTTAGTTGTTTAGTTTAAAGTAAATAAATATAGTAACTATGCTATTTAAAGTCGCCTAAATTGTGACAATCATGAAAGGACTTTTGCGCTGCACGCATGCACGGTCGATATGGTAGATAATTCTCACCAGCTTAACAGGGCCCTGAAGGGGTAAAATGGGAACTGGGATTGATCTATTTTTAGACTGGGAAAATGGGATTTGGGTTGCTGGGACTGGGATTTGGCCACTGGGAATGAGAAATGAAGTCCTCAAAAATGGGAATGGGATTGAGGTAATGCGAGTCGATTCCCACTTTTTCTACGTTTTAATGTGGTTAAACGTAGATTTAAGCGAAGTTAACGGCAGATGTATCTAGCAGCGGGGAGCCCCTGACGTCACTTAGAACAGTTGCAATTATCGCGCATCCGTCACTTTGCTAAAGCTTGGCTAGCCAGCTACAACTGCTCTTTCGCTCTGTTATAAATCTTTGCTATTGCGTGTCATTATTACTTGTTACTTTACTCAACATGCCTCGGCTAACTAGAAATAGTATGGAAACGTCAACGAGCAACAATATTGCTAACACTAGCTCCGCTCGTCCGCCGTCGAGTACGAGTTCGCCAGTAACCAGTTCGCACGTGTCAGCGATGCAAACGAGCAATGCGGGTTCTTTGCCAGTCGCTAACATCGTCAACGACGTGGTTCAAGCGCTTCAAGGTAGCTTGGAAGGCCTTGTTCAGTCCGCCATTGATGCTCGTTTGTCCGTCTCGTCAACCGCAGCAGTCGCAAACAACGCTGGGCAGTTCTCGTCTCGTCCAGCAAATAACCTCGCTGAGAATGCTCCCCCAAACAATTTGGAATCGCAGACCGCAAATTACGAAACCGTTCATCCAGCTGATGGTATGGTTAGTGGTGTTAATGCTCATTTATCTGACGCCAGAGGTAGGCTCGTTCCTTCTTTTATTAATACGTTTGCCACGCCATCTTCTTCATTGGTTTGGTCGGGTAACAGTTCCAGTTCTCCCTCCCTTGCGCTAGCCACGGGTAGTGTGCCGTATTATTGCAACCCTAACGCTAGTAGTGGGATCTCGTTACCACAATCGAGTGGTGTCTCATCATTTATTGTTGGCCCAGGTTATGCCCCAATACCTGCAAAAACTGTCGGTGCTATTACTGCAGGGAAGTATATAAATCTGGCTGATCTTCTCCCGGAGAATTCCTACGCCGTCGACGAGTCCAACGAGCCCCATCTGCTTTTAGATGGTCGCCTAGTTTTAACAGGCATGATAAAAAAACCGCGGAAAGAGATTGTTGATATTGTTTCGTGGGTGGAGGCGTTTTCTATATATGCCTTGATTGGTCCGTCAGAGTCGTACACTCCTTTAGCCAAATGTAGTCTGACCCGTAATCGTATAGTTTTGAATATTTATTATACAAACTGACACTGATATTGATACTTGTACGGAATACTATTCGATCTATTAAAGTTATATACAAAATAATTATAAGTAAAGAGTAATAATATAAGTGTACTTTTATACATACCACTAATTCATATAGCAAATCATTGAGTTCTATAAATGTCACTTACTTCTTTGGCGGGTCACTAGGACTACATTCAAACAGTTCAAAATACAGGTTAGCAGAATCAACAGAATACAATATTACAATAGGTTAGCCTTTTCACGTTTCAGTAGGTCCTTTCGACCGCAGTTCCTTATCTCAATTAACAATAACCTTGAACATGCAATTTATGTAAATGTCAAAACTGACAAGATATGTCATTGTCACAAAACTAATTTAAACTAACAGAACTAATATGTTAAAATGTACGTAAATTAATTATGCAATTGTTACGTCGTGAGTGTCTAACGAAACATTGATAGTTTGTACTTCAACCCCTCACCGTTGGCGCGATTTAACGACCTACAAGTTGTTGATTTTACGCACGTATCGCCAGTTCCAGAGTACTGCATGGTTAACGTACGACAAGGCCTTTAGACAACACGCAGCCGCTCTAAACCTTACGGACTGGTCGGAACTGAACGTCCAGTTGTTCAATTTTTATACCGCCGGTTCTGCTGCGAAACCTTCTCATTCGATTCCGCAACCGCGGGTCGATCGTGTGACCGAAGGGCAAGGCAATTCAGCTGCGTTTGTAGTCTGTGCATCGTGGAATCGAGGACGGTGTGTAGCCCCCACTGCATTGTGTCGCTTTCGCCATGTATGTTCGAACTGTTCGGCGGATCACCGAGGCATAAACTGTCCAACTTCTGGTAAAGCCCCTAGTTACCCGATCCCGCCCAAAAGCCGTCGTTTCTAGAATGCTCTAGTACGCATCTATGAGGCGCCAAATATGACAAAATAGATCATAGTTGTGTGATATATATTACTGCAAATATATACAGTATATTCGTGATGAATAGGTTATTCTTCCAAATATTTAAATATTGTAAGCGGGTGATATACATCACAAATCATGGTTTATATCACAACCCGTGATATAGATCACATTTCAGCTCGTGATACAGGTTACAAATCATGGTTTATATATCACAACTCGTGACATAGATCACAATCCACAATGCAGCTCGTGATATAGGTTACAATTTCGTGTTCGGAATTACTTCATCTTATGACCCATATAGTGGACGGAAGGCTATTTTATATTCCGGGGGGGGGGGGATGTTTCAAATTTTAAAACGTTTTCAGGGTTTCAAAATGGCGCCATGAATGGACCTTTCCCCTTATAACTAAAATTTTGATCTAGACAAATCTAGCCAAAAATTTCATCCAGGTTGAAAGAGCATCACAAAATTAGTAATATTCCAAAGTTTCGTTGCGAAATGTTGTAAAAGTTCAAAAAGGAAGAAGACGATACAGTCTTCTGCAGAATGCTTTGACCAACTTAGATGGGATACACCGCAGCTGATGGTCTCAAGTTGCTGCGGAAATTGGGGTGAGCTACCGAACTATATTACGACGACGCCACGAGTACCGCTTACCAGTCAGCAACACAAGTGGGCCACGAAACACGTTTACTGAAATTACCCATACTGATTTGTGTAATGTTGTTCGAGAAGTTCTCCAGATTTTACCTAACGCTGGTGAAACGTTTGTGTTGGGCGCCCTAAGGCGACAAAATATTCATATTCAACGATGGAAAGTGAGAAATGCAATTTGCAGCGTAGACCCTTTAAGTCGTGCTTTGAGGCGAAGTGTTGCCATTCTATGCCATGTTTACAATGTTCCATGCCCTAATGCATTGTGGTAACTTTTGTGTACACTACCACAGAGTAGAGACATACAGAGTTATAACTACTGTGCCCATTTTTTTGTGCGCATGCTCGGCAAGTTACTAGATGCATGCATCCAATTGCATGACGACTCACTTTAATTGCTCGCGGAACTTGCACAGTTGGTCATTTTTTGCCCGGTCACCTGAAAAAAGTGGGTACATGAAAACGTAAGCTTCCACAGTGTTTACGACGGTCAGTCACAGCTCAAAATCGAAGCGAAGGAACGAAGCATCAACAATGAATATGTCGTTCAAGTAATGGTCCAATGTAATGTCCCCCCCACCCGGAATATAAAATAGCCCTCCGTCCACTATATAGGTCGTAAGATGAAGTAATTCCGAACGCGAAATTGTAACCTATATCACGAGCAACATAGGTGCATTTTGTCTGCGCATGTGCGGAAATCGTTCCGTGCGATTGCAAATGGCGGACTTTAAAGGGTTTGTGAGTTTTGTCACGGTTTTTATGACAAATATGGACTGAATTCTTGTTCGATCTCTCAGAATTCGTGTTAATCCTACGCAGATAAGAGTATTAGTTTTATTACAGTTTAATTCTCTCCAAAATTCATGGTCTTTCGTTTAAATTTTCGTCATTTGCTCGACACGATGCTTGCCTTTATAGTCCCCTTTTCTATAGTCAGTTGAGCTTAATATGTAAGTTACTCGCTTGTTTGGCGTGTTTTCTTGTTTTAAATAGGTTTATAATCTTTCTATGGTTGGATATTCTTGAATAGTATGAGTAATTATGAAAATAATGAAAATCTACTGCCATAATTTTTGGATCAATATGGCTGTTTGCATTTGGTTGAATAGAGATCTTGTAGTAAACCCTATACCGTTGCTTTAGGTTGAAATTTTCCAAAATAATATATTTTCCTGCAAAACTTTTTTTCTACTTTCTCATACTGGTTGTATTAAGTGTTAAAAATGTTGCAAATCCCTGATCCCGTTATATGCAAATATATTGATGCAATACAGGATCTGGGAGAAAACCCAAATTCCAAAATATATAACAAACTTCTTTTTGTGTGTGGTGATAAACAAATCAGAAGTGAGTCATACAAACTTTCCCATATTTTTTCCACAAATTAGATCAGGCGTTGTGATGGAAAGGACATCAAGTTTGATAGCAAAAAAAATTTGGAAAAGGGTACTTTTAGCACAATCATGTCGTCAGCCCATGCTCCAAACATATATGGGACTAGCTACGTGACAGTAAGTTGTAAAAATATTTTTTATTGTGTATTGGTGAGTTTTCAGTGATAATCTTTTGTTGTAGAGCAAGGTGTTATTCCATTTTGTTAAATTTACAAGATTTAATGTTCAGATGAGGTATTTATCTGAACAAAAATATTGTTATAAGATTACCATTTCTGGTCACAAATACTAAATTATGGGGTTTAATTGACCTTCAAGGTGAATAAATAGAAATTCTGAAAAATCTGTACATACAAACTTCACTAAAACAGTATATGTTCTTCCAAATCATCTGTCTCACAGCTTAAAAGTGTTTGATCATCTGGAAAAATTTGGAAAAGTACTCATTTTTAGCATCATATAATGTAAATTAGATACAAAGCCAGAATATTCATTCTCGACTTATTGGGTAGAGTCGAATATAATCTCAGACAGATTTGAGAATCGAAACAATTTAACGTGCCAGTCTCATAGCAGCATGGTTTGTATGGCCAAACATAACAAGGCTAATTGGTCAACATTCCCCACTATAATGGTGGCTCCTTTCTTTTACCCAATAAGTTGGGAATGAATATTCTGGCTGTA